AGCGGTTCTTTTGATAGCATGCACCTAGTTTTAGTTTTTCTTGTTGTAGTTATTTTGATTTGTTGTTAAATTGTTTTATATTTTTTCTCGGTTGATTTTTAGCGCTTAAAATACAAAGAGGTCACAGGGTCGACACAGCGAATATGCAGATAATCAGTAATTTGCTGTTAATGTTTTTATTATATTACATGCAATGTTGTTTGGTGTTTTTGTTTTTTTTTTTTTTTTGTAATTTATTAAGTTGTTTGTTGTTGCATGCACGGCGGGATTATATGTGTATGTTTGTTTAACTAATAAAGTTGTTTAATTAAAAATTAACCCAATTATTAATAACCAAATCGAGCAGATAATGTAAAACATGATTAGTTTTGTGATAGAAATCGTAAATGAAAAGAAATGCAGTTTTCAGATGAGAATTTACAGGCAGGCTAAATCATAAACATATTTACAGACTATACTATAAGCAAGACTATAGATAGAAATCTATACTAGCCTATGACAAGACTATGGAAATTTCTAAGTATAAGCCAAACTATAATAGAACAATATGCTCGATCATGAACAGAATTATAGTTTTGACTATAGAAAGGTCTATTACATAGACCATAAATAGCTTTATAGACTAGACTACAAGTTAGACCACAGACAAGACTATATGTTAGACTGTAGACTAGTAAGTAAGAATAAGAATAAGTTAGGAAATAGACTAGACCATTAATAGGATTATATTATAAACTGTAGACAAACCTATAGTCTAGACCATTAAAAGGATTATAAACTACAATATATAAAGCAGTAGAGTTAATAGACTAGGTTAATAGGCTAGACTATAGTCAAGACTATAGATCAAGCTAATGACAGGTCTATAAGTTCGACTATAGAAAGAACTATAAGTTAGACTATAGGCGGTACTAGATTATAGACTACTCTGTAGAATGTGCTAGAGCTTAGACTATAGATAGTATTATGGGCTAGACAATGGGCAGTTTTATAAGCATGTCTATGGATTAAACTATAGACATGACTATATTTAAAGAGGTAAGACTATAATCTAAACTGTAGATATGATTATATGCTAGATCATGAATAGCATAAAAGACTTGTCTTTAGAAAGGACTATGGGATAAACCATAAACAGACTAGACTATAACCAGAATTATAGCTTAGACTACAGAAAAGACTATATATTAGAATATAGATGAGAATAGAGACTAGACTAGACTATAAACAGGAATATAGAATAACTATTTAGTCTAAACCATAAAAAGGATTATAGACTACGCTATAGGAAGGAGTAGAGTTTATGGACTAGGTTCATAGAATAAACTATTGCCAGGGTTATAGACTGAACTATAGATAGCATTAAATAATAAACACAGGACCCAAATTATGGCATACGATATCGATCGAAATCTCCATTTAGATTCTATTGATGACTATATAGACTAGACTACTGATAGAACAATCAACTAATCTGTAGACATGAGTTAGGCTGGACCATGGGCCCGTGATGAAAGGGGTTAGTATTCTAGTCTCGTAGACCGGAGATTGTGGGTTCGATTCCCATTAAAGGAACTGAGAAAAGAGCACTCAACAGGAACGATAGAGTCCTAAGTGTATTTCTTCGGATTTGATGTACGTATTTACATCTTCCTTTCAAACTAATAAACTAAATAACAAGGCTATGAATAATTACTACTAAATAATCAAACTATAAACGATACTATATGATAAACTATACACAATTATATAGGCTAATTATGAGTATAGTTTAGACCTTAAAACGGATAAAGTGCTATATAATAGACAGTAGGAACAACTGTAGACTGGACTGTAGATAGGGCAGAACGATAGACTATAGGCAGGACTACAAACTAGATTGTAGATTTGACTATAGATATGACTATAGACAGAACATCATGCTAGATTATAGATTGGATTATAAACAAGACGATATAGAATTCTATAGGTTAATATACACACCATGTACCCATGTGCAACGGTTACCCCTAGCCACCGACTGTCCAGTTGACTAGCTATTTTAACATGTGCTTGTCCTACGAAGAAGTCAATCGTCACCCAATAGATTACGAGGTGTCATATAAAAAGCTTAAGTTTGTTTTTTAAGTGTCCACTCTCACGCTTATAAAGGGGACACTAAAGTGACGATTATCTTTATCGTCGTTTACAAAGGGTACAACCTTGAAGAAAGACGTATTATAGCCAACCAGGTGATTAGACGTTAGTAGAAATCGATATAGACGATATAGAATTCTAAAGATTACTATACAGACCATATACCCAGCAATTCGGTCGGACAGTCCCGAACTACCTATTTAACCTACCACTTAGAGTTACCCTTTTCCACCGACTGTCCAGGTGACTAGTTATTTTAACATGTGCTTGACCTACAAAGAAGTCAATCGTCACCCCATAGGTTACGAAGAGGCAGACAAGTGCTTTTTAAGTGTCCCCTCTATCGCTTACAAAGGGGACACTAAAGTGCGTATTATCTTCACCCTCGTTTACAAAGAGTACATCCATGACAAAAGACAAATTAAATCCAACCAGGTGGTTAGACGTTAGTGGAAATCACTGTCTTTTTCGGATGCATTGACTCTTTGTCGAACTGCAGGGTATATAAAAAGCTTAAGTTTTTTTAAGTGTCCACTCTCACGCTTACAAAGGGGACACTGAAGTAAAGATTATCTTTATACTCGTTTACAAAGAGTACATTCGCGACGAAAGACGTATTAGAACCAACCAGGTGATTAGACGTTAGTGGTAATCACTGTATTTTTCGGATGCATTGACTCTTTGGCTACATATATGATTATAGATTGAGCTATAGATAGCTAATATTTTGGGTTAGACCTGTATGTAGTATTGGCTGGGCTGAAGATAGGGCAACAGACTTAACTATGGAAATTACTATATTCTACACATAGGGCTAGAATATCGACTGTATTGTGAGCTAGACTAATAGGACTACACTTTAGCCAAGGCTATATACTCCACTACAAAGAAGGCTTAAGATTATACTAGAGGCAGGACAATATTATATGTAATCTCTAATAATATGTAATCTCTAATTATACTTACATAAAACAGTTCTAGACACTTCCATTCAAATAGTAAATTCAATTTTTTAAATATTTTTTTAATTATAATTTCATTTTTATTATTTTTTTTATTTTTATTCATTTATTTGATAAACATTTCAAAACTATTTTTTATAATGTTTTTCTTTAATTTTTTCATATTTTTTAAATAATTAATTATATTTACTAAATATTTAAATTTATTACACTTAAAAACTACTACATGCTAAGACAATCATATTTATTAATTTCTGTTTTTAATAATTTAATAATAAATTATAAATTATAAAGATAAAATGTATAATTAATATTTTAACTAATTGTTTGCATTATTTTATTTATTTGTTGATTTATTTATAAACTACATAGCTAATACTCTTAATTTAGATTTTGTTTTTCCAAATATTTGATTACAATTATTTATTGAAATTCATAAAAGAATCAAATTTATTTATTTATTTATTTCTATGTATATTTATTATTGTTTTCTTAAAAACTAAAATGTTGTATGTTTTTAATGATTTTACTAATTTAAAGAAAATGAAACAGAAATTTGCAAAAATATTAAATATTTAATTTATTACAAACAAAATAAAAACAATTACAAAAATTTAATAGCGTCAAGATTTAGAAAGGTGTTTGATTTTAGTTGAACACACTATAATTTATAACAAATTGAAAAAAAATATTATTTGTGTATATATTCGAAACACAAATAAATAACTATAAATTAAAATTTTTGTTTAAAACTTTTCATTGAGGTCAATTTTAAATAATTGTTTTTTTTATTTGAATTTTTTTATTTTGTTTAAAAAATGAAAACCTAAGGACATAGAAAAATAAATAGAACTGAAACTGAGAATAAGAAATATTACTCTCTCACATGTACAGGTTCTGTGTGAATTTCATACAATTGTATGAGTATTTTTATGTTTGTTTACATAAAATAACAAAAATATGAAAGTACAAAATGTATCCGAATACACCATACCCTACCACATTGCGAGTAAGTAGCAATAAGTTATTTAGTATTTTTTAATGTAGAAGTTATATTCAAGAGATTGATGTTTGCTTAATTAATGAATGTACTACTCATTATAACAATATATAGTCAAAATTTCGTATATATAAAATTTGTTGAGTCGAATTTTATAAATACTCTATTCTTGTATAGCATGTACCGCTTACAAAAAAGTTCAATAGGCTAATTTATGGGCGGATTACATCATTACATCGACGCAGGTGTTACAAACTTTAAGACGTAAACAAAATACCGTTCCCATTAGTGTGGTGTAGGGTGTATTTTGACTGCATTTGGGCGGCTTTGAAATTAACAATAATCGTTCATATCAAGCGTTAATTTTAGCATTAGCACAATTCCTTTGGCAAAATAGCCCCTGCTGCTGCAATAAACACTGCTAAAAGTTATGTTTTCCCATAAAATTATTGAAAACATTTTCAGAAAAAAAAAACAAATTTTTCAATCGTTTTTATTTTTTAATATTATTTTCAAGTGTCAATATTGACTCAACCCAGCAACCACAAAGAGTTTATTTAAAATTAAAAATAATTTTTAATGAAGATCTTTCTTACATTGGTCAACTGATATTGAATAAAAATGGCTAATTCAAACCATTATTTCATAAAATATCGAAATATAATATCAAACAAAAATATAAAAACTTTTTAAACGAAAGAGTTTGTGTTTGTTGGGTTACATATTTTTCAACTAATACATTCTCACGACTTAGGTTTTTGACAGCAGACTTAGGTTTTGTCATACTCAGTTTCAGTTCTATGTATACCTTTTCTATGCCTAAGGATCTGTAAAAATATTCAATTTGATTGATACGAGTACGTTTTTTTATTATTTTTATTGAATTTTTCTTTTGTAACAATAATAATTATTTTTTGAGTATTTTTTGTGTTTTTCTAACATTTTTTTAATGAATATGATTTATTTATTTTTTTTATTATTTTTTAATTTTTAATAATTTTATGAATTTTATCCATAATTTTTTTTTTTTTTTGTTATTTTTAAATTTTTTATAATACTATTTTGATGTAATAGAATTTACGTGAGCTGATTTATTTCATTTATATTATTTTATTTATATTTATTTTTTTACACAGAAGTCGATTAAAGTTAAACAAAAACAATAAGTTTTTTTAGTTAGATTTTCAAAAATTTTAGCTGAAACTATTGTTTATAAACAGTACTATAGACAGAACTATTGGCCAGAATATTGAAAGGATTGTAGCCCAGACTGTAGACAAGTGTATAGACAGGTGTTGAGTTAGAATTATAAACAGGACTAAATGCTTGACTATAGGTTAGGCTATAGAAAATACTGTAGGCAAGTCTACTTAGAGTAATATAGACTATACCACAGGCTAGACTATATAAATCACTATAGACTGAACTATAGGCTATACAATAGAAAATACTATAGACAGTAACATAGGCTAGACCATAGACAAATCTATAAGCGAAACTATAGTTAGGACTGTAATCTAGACTATAAACAGAATGTAGTAAATTCTAGGCAATAATATGTATAGGCTATATGCAAAACTGTATCCTATTTTTGGACTATACGTTATACTATATTCCGAATTATTGACAGGATCGTCTGGTCTATAGACAGCACTATCATCTAGACTATAGACAAAATTATTATAGACTGTTAACAGGAGTAAATGCTAAACTATAGAAAATACTATTGGCTGACTATACTCAGTACTATAAGCAAGACGATATAGAGGACTATAGGCTAGACTATAGATAAGATATCAGACGCGATTATCGATGGGAATATAGGCTAGATTGTAAATAGGACTACAGGCTAGACTATAGACAGAACTGTAGGAAATACTATATATGCTAGCCTATAGAAAGGATCCTAAGCTTGACTTAAATCAGTAGATAGGAAGCACCTTTAAAAAATTTTAATATATTTCGATTTACTTATATCATCCGATAAGATTCGATTGTTTGATGACAAGTGTCATAATAGTCAGACTCTAATTTCTCAAAGTTCCATAGAAAAGTTTACGAAAATAGCAAAACTGATACCAAAACTACACCTTTAAACTATTAACAACCAATAAGCTGTAAAGAAATTGTTGATTTCATCTAAGAATTAACTCTTTTAAACTTCTGTGTAATATATATTTATTGCACCTTACTTGTATGATAAAATATCTATAATTTAAACTTTTTTACTTATTTCATTCTTTGATTCTTTCACTTACTGTCTATATGCCATTAATTCGGAATAATGCATATGGGGTGGATAATGAGATGCGGACAAAGAGGGTCATGATATACGATCTGGAGTATGAGATGGATGATGATGATGTTGTTGTTGCTGCTGTTGCTGATGGAGTTGATGTTGAGAGGAACTACTGCTATTACCAACAATTGCATTACCACCAGCACCATACAAATGTTGAGGCTGATGATGCGTGTGTTGTGTGTGATGATGGGGATGATGTTGAGAGGTTGTTTCATTTACACTTACGGGAGATGAAGAATTATTTCTTAAATCTAATTCATTCGATGAAAACATTGTGGAAGATTTTTGATTACCTATGAGAGGAGAACGTGGTGTGGCGACTGGTGGTGTGACCGAATGTGGTGAATGTGACTCTGATGAAGGTCTTCTGCAGAAGGGATTAAGACCGTTAAAGGAGGATGCAGCCAGTAGGTGGGGAGATAGGTGTGGAAAACCTGGCAGTCCTGGTAGGCCGGAAAACAGTAGAGGATTACCACCATGTTGCATTAAGAATCTAGGATCACTCATAAAGGCTGCTGTTGCTGCATCAGGAAATCCTGGTAGTGTGGTGGGCGTGGTAGGAAAATGTTGTTTAAGAGCCTCAAAATTAATGGGTGGTAAACCATGGGCACCAGCATATAATCTTGCCAAAAACTCCGCTTGCAATGTAGTTGATATATTACTGGTCGGTGAGGAAGGGAAATTTTTGTTATTATTCAAACTCATGGGCTCTGGTAAGGGATCCAAATTATGATTGTCGCTGGTGGACAATAACTTGCGATGTAAATTCAAATTCGAACTATGTCTATCACGACTTCTCTTTGAAGGAAAGGCGGCATTGCAACCATCAATATTGCATTTATGATGCAATTTTAAATGTTCATTTTGATAGTGGGTCTTGAGATGAAAATGATTTTGGAAAACTTCCCCACAAGCGGTACATTTTAAAGGATTGTCTTTATCGATGGGAACTTCTGCCTCCTCTACTATACACTCGGTGCCATTTTGTTCCTCCGTGATTGTTGAAAGTGCTTTTGGTTGCTCCGATTGAGAGCAGGTTTTGGTGGTTAGATTTTCGGGCAGGTTATTGTTATCTTCTGCTGATATGTTTATTTTAAAATTATCTTCCATTAATTCCTTTTTGATTCTTAAGTAACGATTTTCTTCTTCGGGTTCTTCGGGGGAATTGTTAAAATTAGTTGTAGGTGATGAACATAAATCTTCTTTGGGCTCTTCCTTGATAACGGGCATTAAAAGACCAGTTGCTAAGCCGTTTTCTTTGAATTGTGCAACTTCTTTTAAATCATGCTTTTGTGTGGAGGATAAATCTAAAGAGTGCTCCTGTTGCTCTTCAGCATGTGGTGAACCAGTTGGCCTTGGACTTTCCATATGCTTTTGCTCTTCTTCTGATTCTCGGGGCTCCAATTTTACTGGGGTACTAGCCAATAAGCTATGTCTAGCTGTTTCACTAGTTCCAGTACTAGGTGTTAAAGGCGGTGAAGGCAGCACTTTAGCTCCCTCATTTGTATGCTCTTCAGATTTTCTAGTTCGTTTCGTTAAATCCAAAGACATAGTCTCCTCGTTAGCCTCATCTTTAACTGAGTCCTGTTCTCTTGCTTTGCACTTGACCGACAAATCATTTGCCATATCGTAATCATTGGAATTATCACAGGAGTTTTCATTTGATTGTATAGCGCAACGTACAGGATTTTGATTTTTACGTTTGCGTTTACTCGATGAACTCATAGGATAACCACTTCCATTGGCAGAGTTCTGTAGAGATAAAGCATTGGAAGAACTTTCATAATCCTCACGCAAACTACAGGAATCTGTTACACTAAGAGTGTCATCATTACTCTCAGTACTGTGGCGTTCTGCAGTGCTACGACCATCGTCTTCCATGTCCTCTTTTCTAAGCGGGTCTAAGGGTTTCTCTTTGGTTTTATAATAATCAACAGGAGTTTTGGTATCTGTAGATCTATCGAAATGATCTCGGCTATTATCTCCTAAGGTGGAAGTGGTTTCCTCTGCGGCATTGTCTTCAATACTGAAATCTTCGGAATTTGTTTTATCTAGCATACTGTCACCCTCGTCGCCTACCACCACAATGCCTTCACCATCGTCGTCATCATCATCGTCATCAATGTCGCCTATATGAATACCACCATCCATACCATCATCATCTTCCTCGTCATCACCCATTACTTCTGCTCCAGACATTTGTCTACCCTCATAACGATGCATTAAGGCGTTGTCCATGTAAGCTCGTTGCATGTATTCCGAGTTATGTTTGGGATCTCCTAGAGAACCCATAGGATGGTGTCTCATATCTGGAGGTGGTGTTAACATAGGGAAACTACCGAAGGGATTTAAACCAGCCATTAAGCCATTGGGTGGCTGCAGCAATAGGGGATGTGGTTGAGCACTGCGACCATCGTGGGGAGATATTTTCCGTCGTAGGTGGGGTGAATGCAATTTTGGATTGGGATTTGCACTGTGGCGGTTACGTGACCTCCTAGAACTAAACATCATATTGCAGCCATCAACCGTACATTTATGCATTTCTCTTAAATGTACCGCAGAGAAATGTATTTTCAAGGCTCCCTTATCACAAAATGTTTTCAGACAAACATTACATTGCACTCTCTTCTTGCCCGTAACGGGATTTATAAACTGAGTACCTAAATTGGCAGGCAGCGAACCCCATTGTCTTTTACCGGGCGAATGTGTCTTTCGACTGGATCTTAGACCAGAAGTAGAAGATATTCGTGAAAGTCTTTGACTGTGCGTAGAGGAAGAATCATGTTGCATGGAGTTTCTTTGACTACTAGTCGATTCCCTAAGATCTCTTTGACTTTGGTAATTGCTCGAGGAGTTTGTAACTGAGGAAGATGACTGCGTGACTGAGGATGTAGATAGTGATGATTGTGAAACACTACGGACTGGCGGTGTGCGCCGTGAGGTGGAGGATTCACGTAAATGATTTATATCGGAACTTTTTGGTTTATCCATTTCGGGTGATTTTGAACGTATTAGAGGTTTTCCCATACCTAGTGAAGGGTTTAAACCGGGAAAATGTGTTGAGAGAAGACCGTGGGGCATAGGATTACCGGAAGCTGCGGCTGCAGCAGCTATAGCAGCCACTTGGTTGCTGGTCAAACCTGCCGGCAAACCTGTGCCAGTTGAGCTATTAGCAGAGGAACTGGGAGAAGGTGGGTGTAAGTGAGGCATGGGCGGCGGAGGAGGCAAATGAAAGGGCAAAGGATGACCCGACATAGCCATAGCGTTAAAGAACTGATTGCTTTGAGCAGCAGCTGCTGCGGCAGCGGCAACAGCTGCATTCTTCTCCGAGGGAGTGGTAGCCTCATTTATACGTCTCCTAGCTTGAGCCAACATAGCAGCTTGTTGGGCGGCTTGCTGTTGCAAATGTTGTTGATGAACCAATTCGCTGGGACTTAGGCGTGCTGGTGGTGGAAGACCCGGAAATGCACCCAAGGCTGCAGAATTTATCTTACGAAAATCAAACGGCTGCATATTCTGCAAATGACTTAAAGGATTATGAGCTGCCGAGGCGGGTGATGTTTGGGTATTCGAGGATGAGGATGATGAGTTATTGGAAGCACTAGAACTAAGCGTTGTATGTGAACCTGTCATGCCAGATGAAGTCGAACTGACACCGCTACCTCCCGCAGGCGAGGCAGGATTACGAAAATAATTACTTAAATGGCCTGGTGGCGCAAGACCTGCATGTGTTGCATGACCTGTGTTACCAGCAGCTGCTGCCGCGGCTGAAAGTTTTTGTTGCAATTGAAACTGCATTTGTGCATGAGCCATAGCACTAAGATGCATATTCATGGGATGTGCTGCAGCTCGAGGTGGCGATGGACGCCTACTTGGTGACATTACCATAGATGAAACTGAGCTATTGGTAACGACGGGTAAGTTGTGTATATTGTAGGCGTTGCTACACTTGCCAATATATTCGTGTTCCAAGTTCGTGCGTCTGGCTAATTGTTGTTGCTGCTGAAGCTGTTGTTGTTGCTGACGTTCGTAGCTGTAGGCAAAAGTTGCTTGTGCATGCGCATGTGCTTTTTTCAAATACTCCAAGTCTAACTCAGGCAATGTGTGCAAGGGTGGTGGTAACGTTAAACTTGCGGCTGTTGTAGGGTTTTGTGTCGATGATAAATGTTGTGCTGTATTGCTAGCGTTAGTGTGTCGCTGCTGGATTCCGTTGGTGTACTGTTGCTGGTGGTGTTGGTGATGTTGATGCTGTTGATGATGTTGCTTCTCCTGATTAATATTCATTAATATGCTGTTGTTTGCTGTTAGCAGTATTTTTTAAGACTAGAAATATTCGTTGTTTTAAGTTTTGTGATTTTTTCTTCTTTTGTAGATATTGAGCTGTATTAGTATTTAGTTGTAACATGAGTTTTTGTGATCTATTATTGTTTGGTTCAATATTCAGCATTTTGTTCGTTGTGGCGGAGTATTATGAAAAATTCCCTTTTTTTAGCAAAACGATTCCTGTCGTTTTTTTCTTCTTTTAGTTGGGTGTATTTTTTAGGGGAGGTGTTCTAAAAATAAAGAAATGGAAGAGTTATCAGTAACACTTAGTGAGACATATTGATGTAATCCAATAGATCATTAAATCATCATTCGTTTAGAAACTTATTATGGAGGAAAGGTGAATTTAAATGATCAAGAGAGCATAGAAAAACTTAACACATTGGGATTAGAAGACCTCGATGTAAGGAGATACCAAATTGAGTTTTCAATTCAATTTATAATTTAGTTTGATACAATGTTGTCTAATTGTCTCATGTAAAAATTTTTGCATTTAAAAGAACACGTTTCATTTTGCAAATCACATCAAAACCTCTTAAAAGTTCTGCACAAAAAGACAAATATATATAATCTGACCATATAATTTTATTTAAAGCTTTACGAGTCTAAATGTCACTTTTCTAAATAACAAAAAAGTACTTACGTCTATCTACGTATTGTACTTCGTACATAATTTGTCTGCCTCTATAGAGCAAAGTCATGACATTTTTCTCTCTTTTTTTAAAAAAGATCGTTTTTTCTCAATTTTATTTAAATTGCCATTTGCATTTACAAAATTATAATGTGTTGAATAAGAAAAGAAGAGAAGAAAAAAAAATAAAAATTGTATGAGTATATCAGGTATTTGTACGAATAATATCTTTAATCGCATTAAGCTTGTTTGGGCTGTAATAAACTTGACTTAAAAATGATTTTCTGTATCTGGCTTTTTTTGAAGTACAACAAAGTGAGATTTAAATGAGTGTCGAGATATGATGACTGAGATACTCTGTCAATATTTATGACAATCAATATAAATGTATTCGTATTTAGATGTATTTGTATAAAAAATAACAACAATCTCTTATAAAGGAAACTAAGTGTGTTTGTCATTTAATAAAAAAAATTACATACACACATACGTATAAATAACTTGACCGCTCTCTGTCATGACGCAAATGCATAATTTTTCCACAATTTTTGTTTTTTTTTTCATTTCATTTGAATATGACTGACAATTAAATTGCTGTCACTATTTATGGCATGTCAAAAGTGTCAAAATGACATTTTTTATTACGTCGTATAAAGTGGTTTCAGGTGATGCAAATTTATATAGAAAACTTTATTTATTTGTATACATATATATACACATTTCTGAGCGGTATTGTTTGATTCGATTTGATTGGATTTTTTTCTTATCTTTGTTCATACAATTTAACATGCTCTTAGCCATCAAGCAATAATAACAACAACATACTCACAGATTTTGTATTATTTAAGTGAGGATTAAAGAATTTTCTGTGTGAATGTTTGAGATCTGAGTGTCGTTTTTTGTGATTTAAATTCAATGGAATCACTATGACTCTTTATTATTTAAGTTTTTCTTTTGTGTCACTTATTTAAAGGACATTTGGAAATTGTCTGTTTAAAGATCAGAGGTGTGCCACCGTACCAGGCAATAAAATATGTAAAATTTTTCAAAGTTCTAAACTTTTTCCTGATTCAGTTCTAGCTCAATTCTAGTTCAGTTCTGTTTCAGTTTAGTTCAGTTCTAGTTCAGTTCTAGTTCAGTTCTAGTTCAGTCTAGTTCAGTTCTAGTTCAGTTCTAGTTCAGTTCTAGTTCAGTTCTAGTTCAGTTCTAGTTCAGTTCTAGTTCAGTTCTAGTTCAGTTCTAGTTCAGTTCTAGTTCAGTTCTAGTTCAGTTCTAGTTCAGTAGTTCAGTTCTAGTTCAGTTCTAGTTCAGTTCTAGTTCAGTTCTAGTTCAGTTCTAGTTCAGTTCTAGTTCAGTTCTAGTTCAGTTCTAGTTCAGTTCTAGTTCAGTTCTAGTTCAGTTCTAGTTCAGTTCTAGTTCAGTTCTAGTTCAGTTCTAGTTCAGTTCTAGTTCAGTTCTAGTTCAGTTCTAGTTCAGTTCTAGTTCAGTTCTAGTTCAGTTCTAGTTCAGTTCTAGTTCAGTTCTAGTTCAGTTCTAGTTCAGTTCTAGTCAGTTCTAGTTCAGTTCTAGTTCAGTTCTAGTTCAGTTCAGTTCTAGTTCAGTTCTAGTTCAGTTCTAGTTCAGTTCTAGTTCAGTTCTAGTTCAGTTCTAGTTCAGTTCTAGTTCAGTTCTAGTTCAGTTCTAGTTCAGTTCTAGTTCAGTTCTAGTTCAGTTCTAGTTCTATTCAGTTCTAGTTCAGTTCTAGTTCAGTTCTAGTTCAGTTCTAGTTCAGTTCTAGTTCAGTTCTAGTTCAGTTCTAATTCAGTTACAGTTCTAGTTCAGTTCTAGATTCAGTTCTAGTTCAGTTCTAGTTCAGTTCTAATTCAGTCTAGTTCAGTTCTAGTTCAGTTCTAGTTCAGTTCTAGTTCAGTTCTAGTTCAGTTCTAGTTCAGTTCTAGTTCAGTTCTAGTTCAGTTCAGTTCTAGTTCAGTTCTAGCTCAGTTCTAGTTCAGTTCTAGTTCAGTTCTAGTTCAGTTCTAGTTCAGTTCTAGTTCAGTTCTAGTTCAGTTCTAGTTTCAGTTCTAGTTCAGTTTCTAGTTCAGTTCTAGTTCAGTTCTAGTTCAGTTCTAGTTCAGTTCTAGTTCAGTTCTAGTTCAGTTCTAGTTCAGTTCTAGTTCAGTTCTAGTTCAGTTCTAGTTCAGTTCTAGTTCAGTTCTAGTTCAGTTCTAGTTCAGTTCTAGTTCAGTTCTAGTTCAGTTCTAGTTCAGTTCTAGTTCAGTTCTAGTTCAGTTCTAGTTCAGTTCTAGTTCAGTTCTAGTTCAGTTCTAGTTCAGTTCTAGTTCAGTTCTAGTTCAGTTCTAGTTCAGTTCTAGTTCAGTTCTAGTTCAGTTCTAGTTCAGTTCTAGTTCAGTTCTAGTTCAGTTCTAGTTCAGTTCTAGTTCAGTTCTAGTTCAGTTCTAGTTCAGTTCTAGTTCAGTTCTAGTTCAGTTCTAGTTCAGTTCTAGTTCAGTTCTAGTTCAGTTCTAGTTCAGTTCTAGTTCAGTTCTAGTTCAGTTCTAGTTCAGTTCTAGTTCAGTTCTAGTTCAGTTCTAGTTCAGTTCTAGTTCAGTTCTAGTTCAGTTCTAGTTCAGTTCTAGTTCAGTTCTAGTTCAGTTCTAGTTCAGTTCTAGTTCAGTTCTAGTTCAGTTCTAGTTCAGTTCTAGTTCAGTTCTAGTTCAGTTCTAGTTCAGTTCTAGTTCAGTTCTAGTTCAGTTCTAGTTCAGTTCTAGTTCAGTTCTAGTTCAGTTCTAGTTCAGTTCCAGTTCAGTTCTAGTTCAGTTCTAGTTCAGTTCTAGTTCAGTTCTAGTTCAGTTCTAGTTCAGTTCTAGTTCAGTTCTAGTTCAGTTCTAGTTCAGTTCTAGTTCAGTTCTAGTTCAGTTCTAGTTCAGTTCTAGTTCAGTTCTAGTTCAGTTCTAGTTCAGTTCTAGTTCAGTTCTAGTTCAGTTCTAGTTCAGTTCTAGTTCAGTTCTAGTTCAGTTCTAGTTCAGTTCTAGTTCAGTTCTAGTTCAGTTCTAGTTCAGTTCTAGTTCAGTTCTAGTTCAGTTCTAGTTCAGTTCTAGTTCAGTTCTAGTTCAGTTCTAATTCAGTTACAGTTCTAGTTCAGTTCTAATTCAGTTCTAGTTCAGTTCTAGTTCAGTTCTAATTCAGTCCTAGTTCAGTTCTAGTTCAGTTCTAGTTCAGTTCTAGTTCAGTTCTAGTTCAGTTCTAGTTCAGTTCTAGTTCAGTTCAGTTCTAGTTCAGTTCTAGCTCAGTTCTAGTTCAGTTCTAATTCAGTTCTAGTTCAGTTCTAGTTCAGTTCTAGTTCAGTTCTAGTTCAGTTCTAGTTCAGTTCTAGTTCAGTTCTAGTTCAGTTCTAGTTCAGTTCTAGTTTCTAGTTCAGTTCTAGTTCAGTTCTAGTTCAGTTCTAGTTCAGTTCTAGTTCAGTTCTAGTTCAGTTCTAGTTCAGTTCTAGTTCAGTTCTAGTTCAGTTCTAGTTCAGTTCTAGTTCAGTTCTAGTTCAGTTCTAGTCAGTTCTAGTTCAGTTCTAGTTCAGTTCTAGTTCAGTTCTAGTTCAGTTCTAGTTCAGTTCTAGTTCAGTTCTAGTTCAGTTCTAGTTCAGTTCTAGTTCAGTTCTAGTTCAGTTCTAGTTCAGTTCTAGTTCAGTTCTAGTTCAGTTCTAGTTCAGTTCTAGTTCAGTTCTAGTTCAGTTCTAGTTCAGTTCTAGTTCAGTTCTAGTTCAGTTCTAGTTCAGTTCTAGTTCAGTTCTAGTTCAGTTCTAGTTCAGTTCTAGTTCAGTTCTAGTTCAGTTCTAGTTCAGTTCTAGTTCAGTTCTAGTTCAGTTCTAGTTCAGTTCTAGTTCAGTTCTAGTTCAGTTCTAGTTCAGTTCTAGTTCAGTTCTAGTTCAGTTCCAGTTCAGTTCTAGTTCAGTTCTAGTTCAGTTCTAGTTCAGTTCTAGTTCAGATCTAGTTCAGTTCTAGTTCAGTTCTGTTCTAGTTCAATTGTGTTTCGTGTAAGTACAGCTTTAAATATCAATTATATTGTTTTTGTAATTACAATGTGAACCATTAAATATATATAAAATAAGTCATTATAGAGAAAATTATAGAAAACCCAATCGTTTCTTAACATTTGATTTTAAAACAATTTTAAGCACTAACTTTAACTCCAACATTTCTTCTCAAACTTCATCTAAGGCAATCTATGAAATTTCCCCAATTTGCTCTGGACATTATATTTCAAACACATTATTTACAACACATAATCAAATCTTACGTTAAATACAAAAAAGTGAACAAAATATTTAAATTTCTCACATAAATAAACTCACACCTTTTACAGCCTCAATAAAATTCGATCTAGAACATAAATTTTTACACAAGTTTGGACATGACTGTTTTAATGTCATTTTAGTTGTGTTTTCAGTTTTATAACAGTCAAGAGCCAAAAAAAAAAGGAGACCAACGAAAAAAACCCTTGTCATTAGAATAAACATCAACACATTCAAAAGGAAGACAAGAGCAACAAATCATAATTTTTTAAAATATTAAAACACTTTTCTCTTCTTGAATTTTTGTCGTTGTTGTTTTTCCCAGAA